CTTTCATATACATACTTACATACAAATACCTACATACATTTCTGGACATTTATGGTTTGATTTCTTTGTATGTATGGATCACTTGGGTTGTTACCGACATCTGGTGAAAATTTCATGTCATTAGCACCTCTAGTAATATATTTACTGAGAAAAATGGTGACGTGTTCAATACTTATTTTACCTGCTGTATATATGTATGCTTTTGCTAAGTTTTGTAACCTTACTTCTTTGCAGGTGTGCAGACAGATGTTGGATGGATTGTATTGTTTTCTTGACGTATATCTCACATATCATCAATTCTTTCTTTCACTTTTTTCTACTACATTGTAACTTTTCTTTCCTTTCCTTCTTTTTTTCCTTTCTTTCGTCTTCTTTATTGTCTATCTAAAAAAAACCACTGATGATGAAGAAGCTAAGATACTAATATTCAGATATTTAGTACTGCTTTCTACTGAAGTGGTTAAAAAAAACTGGTAGGAACAGCCTGCAGTTCTGGATTTGTTGCTGTGATTCGTTTATTTCATTAGGCTTTGCTTTATATTTAGCTTTCCTACATTCACAATGTCTTATCTGCATGGTTAATGCTTCCGTGTCTTTTACAAATAAGGCTTCATTTGTTCAAACATTCGACCTCAGGATGATTTATCGTCTGTTGCTGGTATCATTTTTCAGACATCCCTCCACCGCCAAATTCATTTCTGTCAGTGTTAAACATTTTTCTCTGAAATGCGGATATTGTCCTTCAAAAACCACAAGATGAGAATTAATATGAGGAAAAATTTTTGTTCCATTTCCAAGAAACAGCAGAGATGAAACAAAACTTCTCAAAATCTGTAACTTAATTATTTTTTCTGAGACTAACTAATGTTGATTTCTGGGCTGGAAGTTGGGATGTAATGACCGCATGTCAAAAAGCTAGATTTCTTTGAACCCATGGTATTTGATGTTTTCCTTGGATAATCTAATGAAAATAGATGAAAACCAAATGTAACCTGTTTTCTCAAAAGGGAAAAACGGAGATCTTAACATAGTATTTAATTTTCAATATATTGTTAACAGACAGTTGTTTTTGTTCCCCCTTAACATGAGTTCACTGCTCTTTCATTGCACTTTTTGGAGTATTTGTAAAAGCGTGGCTAATGTGACTAATACCAGATGTGATTTGAACTGGTGCTGGTTGTCAGCCATGAGATTGAACGTGACCATCAGTCAGTGAACTGTACGTAGATGAGTTAGTAAATAATTCCTTATTTTTTTTTTAATTTTTATATTTTTTTTTCTTTTTTGCCACTTCAGTAGAAATCAGAACTGAATATCTGAATATTACTATCTTAGCTTCATCATCATCAGTGGCTTTTTTTAATAGGAGAAAAAGAAAGAGAAAGAAAAAAATGAAATGTAATGAGAAAGAGTGAAAGAGAGATTAGAAGATATGTGAAWTATATGTTGAGAAAACACAAGACAGCACACCCGACTTCTTGGCTCCACACCTACAAAAACAAAGATAGCAAAACCACAGCAACAAAAATGCATATCTATATAATTATAATGACTATAGCCTTGCTGAAAACCATACCCATACACATATATAAATTTATACATATACACATAAACATGCCCATACCTACATATCCAAACACTTTCATATATATATATATATATATATACACGTACACATATACATATATCTATRCRTACACATATGCACATACCATTCAGTCAGTGCCTGAATAGAAAACCCAGGATGTAAACACCTGTTTGTGTGCGGTTGTGAGCATGCATGTATATACAAGATCTCTCCAATGGAATGTTTCAAAGTGACTGTGGGGGCCACAGACCCGGCCCGTAAAGCCGGAAGCCGACATAAGGGAGACCAGCACCAAAGACCCCGAGATGGACCCCAAGTGCGCAGCCCCAGAGACACCCACGCCGGAAGGGCCGCCCACCCACCCCCAAAGAGGACCACCGGAGAGAACCGGAAGAGCCCCACCAGCGACCCCACACTGCAACCCCTGGGGCCAGCAGCAACAAACTCACAGGCCCTGCCGGTACCCACCGCGCCAGAGTAGATCCAGGCGTGGACATAGAGGCCCGGGCCCCCAGGGCGCACCCCCCCCCCCCCAGGCCAAGGCCCGACAATAAATAATTCCAACAACACATGCTATAAAATGGTATTTATTAATTTGAACAGAAAAAGAACAAGATAACTTTATTCAAATGAACAGGGTCATCAGAGTATTTACATGTATTTGGATCACATTATTAACCATGATTTTTAAACTTGATGGTTTCTCTACAAAAACGTTAGCACTCTGAGCTTCTGTAACACATTTAGAGGCAGGTTAAAGCAGAACGGAGAACAAGCTACATTACGTTTCCCTCAGAAGTTGGAACTTGGATTTGAATGCTAGTTGCAAGTTGAAGGACCTGTAGGATTTCTTAAAGTTTGTACGCAGGAGCCAAGCTAACTGCAATTAGCAAAGCAAGTCAATAATTAATTTTTCTGGATTCTGTGCAGCTATCACAACTTTTCACGTGCGGGTCGGCCATGTTGGATTTTAAAGCTGGGCTAATCAGGGAATCTTTGATATTCTAAGTTGGAAATGCAACTTTAGAGACTTTCCAGTTGATTTTTCTGACTTGGAACATGGAAATTTCAATTACCTGAACACGCCAATAAAACTGTTCTTTCAGCTGCATGCTGAAGTGCATGCAGTAGTGTTAGCAAACATAGTTGATCATGTGCATATTTTCAAACAAATTGACGTATCTGCTTCTCTACAACATTCCTGCCTCCTTTTGGGAGGAATGGCTAAAGCTGTTAGATTTTGGTTCACATTATGGACATAAGTTAATCCAAATTAATCACTAAAGAGAACCATTTCACTTGAGTCAATCACACTGGTGCACTGCACAACCTCAACTGTATGTGAGCATGGTAAGGTTGCAATATTTGGAGATGTTTTATTTCAGAATTTTACACTTTGCAGATGATGGATGGAAAACAAAGGAAACCAAAATGGTAACCTACATATTTAAAATGTATTTTACTTTCATCTAAATAAGTATTTCTGGTGCATTAACCCAAATCAGAGACTCAAATCACCTAAGTCTTATGTCATGGTGATCAGGAGTTTTCATATAAAAGATAACTTTCAGAAATATGGATCAAAGTTCATTAGACAAACAATGCCTCATGGCCTGATGTATAATAAACTGAATCCCTGGAGAATATCTCCAAGCTTGTCTATTTTGCTTTTTTTTTTTTTTACTGTCGGTCGTGAGTGGAAAGTACAGTAAACTAATTCTTACAGGATACTTCACTTTCCTCAGAGGGCACACATCTGTTTGAAGGAGAAGGAAGGAAGGCTCTATAAATGTGAGGACGGTTAACAGGAGCTCAAAGCTGTGCCAGAACAGTTGGTACTAATGTTACTTCCGCTAGATAGCCAAGTTTTATTGTCTTAGTGCTCCATCACAACCCTAGCTGACCCTGGCAGAGCAATTCTGATGACCTCACTAAACAATTCAATCGTAGAGACTGAACTGTTTGTTTGTTTGTTTTTTATTCTTGGGAAACAATGGAAAGGCAAATTAATTTGTCCTTTAACAATGTGTACAACCTATTTATGGAGCATGAAACAATTTTGCTGGATTTAGGGGGACGATTTCCCACATTTAACAGAAATCAATCTTCATCACATTAAACAGAAGCTTGCAGTACAACACTGGAGGTGTGTGTGGGGGGTGTGACACAGATTGTCATTCTCAAAAGGCATGGGCTCTACAGATGGACATGAGGGGTTTATGATTCATCCATCCATCCATTTTCTGTACATGCTTATTCCTTTCAAGGTCGCGTGGGTCACTGGTGCCCATATCCAGCAGTCACAGTGCGAGGGGCAGGGTTTATGATTCAGTTACGTCATATTTTCAGTGAAGCAACATTGTGATTTAGCAAAGGTGATATGCTAAACATAAACAAAGTTCATAAATCAATTTTATTTAAAGTATCTTTATGAATACATAGATAACATATTGTTCAAGGATTAGTAATGAAAATAAAAAAAGGTTTCTTGTGCTGCTATTTAAATTTCTTTCCATAAAACTGTAAAATTAAAGTTTTTTAAGTAACACAACTAAATTTCAAATCAAATTTCAGTACTACATTTGTTATCATGTAGTACTGAGGAAAACAGTTTTTGTTTTTGTTTTCAGCTTGCATCGATGCCATACAGGTTAAAACACCAGTTATACAATTTGCCTTGACTTTTGGGTTCTTGTTTAGTTTTGTAAAAATCAATCACTTTCCATTGATTTATTCAGAAGAGAGTCATGTATAATTTTATCCTGTCTCAGATGATCTCAATCAGCTGAGTTCACTCTGCACATATCATCCATTAGATGCAGAACTAACACCCTGAACAACCGTCTACAAGCTTTTGATCTTTCAAAACATTTAAGTAGCATATGTAAAAATTCAGTATAACCTAACAATGTGGGTTAATTTTAAAGTTCATTTCCAACAATCAGCACATCTTTGTAACATTGGATCTGTCAGATAAAAAAACAAAAATCTAAATGTTTAAAAAGTATCTGTGGACCTTTTGTGCTGAGGAGAAACACAAGCTCCTCATGTGTTTCGTGCTACGCTCTCAGAAAAATAGAAGCTACATTGTTTGAACCAATTTTGTACACGACGCACGCCGGCGATCATCTGGTGTTCTTTCAGAGTTCATGTTCAACAGCTGCCCCCATATGACTCACAGCAGAGATAGGAAGATTTCCAACATAAAGCTTCTTCACATGACCTAGGGGCCACAGTGGGGCCCGGTTTTAGCCGAGTATGAAAGTAACCGTTGCTACTTTGTGTCCTTCATCCGAGGAGCATGAAGGTTTGAATAAAGCTCACTGACTTTTTGGGCAGAGCCAATGGGCCCACTAACATGCCCCAGCTCACATGGGTGCTACTTCATTGTCAAATAAATTGCTACAGTTTTTTTCTATATCATTAAATAAACAGCGTCATTGAGACGTCTACTCTCAAAGGCGCCAGTCCTTTGAGCTTCAAAGAACTCAGCGTTGCACTTTACCTTGAGCTGTTAAAGCTTCAACATGTAGTACTGATCACTGCTTACTTGTATATGAAGCAAGTGGACTAGATAAGCAAAAAATCTGCAATCTACATGGATATACTGTAATACGTACAGTAGTTTACAAGTGGCTTGACTCGACTTTCTCCTCAAATGTGTTTATCTTTTCTGGTCCATAGAGAGGCTTGAAGTCCTCTGGACAGTTATCATGCTAAGCTCAAGATCTGTGTCAGAGCAGGAATATGTTTATGCAGCATTGGTTTCATCATAGCCTGTGCAGTTATGATTGTTACAGCCTGAACAGGTGGCATCCTGTTATATTCACCAGTTAGGATAGATCACAGAGTGTTTCAGTCTCAAGTGACTTCATTTTCCACTCCTGACTCAGATCTGAATGTTGGTTTGTTGGCGCTGACTGCATGCTTTCCATGAACTGATGGGACCGTTGGTTTTGGTAGCTGAGGATTGTGTGTGTATTGTGTGTTTTATGAAGAGCTTGTGTATTTCTGACTGGAGCGGGAACTGGAGCGGTCGAGTCCATTGCCGTGGCAAGAGCCCTTCCAGCGTCCACCGAAGCTCCGCTCGTCCAGAGGAGACGTCCTATAGCACCAGCAGCACAGGCAGGACTACAAGATGATAACACGTTACTACATTTATTTTCTTAAAAAATTATGTTTTCAGTTAGTCACATTGTTTGTTCTTACCTGGAAACAGTTCTTAAACTTCTGGCTGACAAAGTAGAGGGCGATTGGGTTAATGCAGGAGTTTAAAGAGGCCATGTTGATGCCAATGTAATCCATCACTAAAAGGAAACTGACAGGAAAAAAAGGGTTTACTGTAAGGACGGACAGGAAGTCCAGGAACAGAGAACAATATGCTCTCGTTAGGTTTTCACAGCAGCTGTGGGAGATTCCTACCTGAGCAGCTCGCAGCGGTTGGGGTCATTTTGGTCGTAGACGGTTTTCTTCAGGATACGGCTGAGATGAAGTGGCAGCCAGCAGAACGCGAAAATCAACACCAAGCAGAACACTGTCTTCGCCACTTCCCTCCTCTGCAACAAACACAAACATACAGAAGGTTTCCTTAAAGCAGTAGATCACATCTTCTGTTGAAAGGTTAGGAACAAATCATATCTGCTGCACGAAGCTTTTTGAGCATCACTTTGGTTCCTAAACAGATTTATGAGCGAACATCTAATCTGGGCTAAGGTCAAAGTGAACACCTTCTGTCTTAAAACAACTAGGCCTACAACAGATAACAGCATAGTTCAGCTCGGCTACCCACAAAAATGCTAAAAACAGTAACTGTTAGCAATCCTGTTCGTTTTTTGTTATAGCAGAAAAGCTTTTGACAAATTATGACAATACTTGAAACTGTTCACAAGACATCAGCGCACTGTTTCTTGAATATTACACTGGTGTTGTGCAAAGGCCCCACCAAGGCCAATGACCGCCTCCAGAAAAAAATAAAGTAGTTGGTACCCACTCTGGCCCCACTTTGCCAGACTGTTTTATTCTCTTGAGCCTTTAGTTTTGTATGCACTTTTATAATTTATTATGGCTTTTTAGGATGAGTAGAGCCTCATAATCAGATCAACAAACAATGTTTTTGAGCAATTAGTTGGCTCAAATATATATATA